ACTACAAATATCCTCTAACAATTTTCGCGTATGTAACTTTCATAAAACGTCCATTGAATATGCCACGCTTACAAATACCACCATGCCAATGAAATTACATTTTAATAATCTCGTTCTATAAATACTCGCATACGTAATCAATAAATTAATGCAATTATGTTAATTAGTTGCAGTATTAAATTTAAGGGGAATTTTTTAAAAAATGCTTCACACGCAAGTACTTCAAAATTAGTTCAAGTATTTCTCTGCTTGCGCCAGTTGCCGTATATAGAAAGCGTTTTACGGTAGTAATTATTATGATTTAAAATCAGTACAATACGTCGTTATTCTTTTATTTTCTTTTTTTATTCTATTTTATTTATTTATTTTTTATTTTTTATTTTTATTTTCTTATTTTAACATTATCCTATTACTCTTGGCAGTCATCATACAATCATATTTTACATTATTTCACTGCTGCACCATTTCACTTAGCTTTGAGAGCAAAGACGTTTAAACTTAAATAGTATGGTGTTGCGCCTATACGTAATCAATTAATATGCAATTCAATTTTAATGTAATATTGAAATTTAACGTAGGCTTTATTCGATACTATATAATGAATTAAAGGACGATTAGCAATTTCATGGAGAATATATTAAAAGAGTGATTACCTATGCAATTCCTTATAACAAATTTCAATATAATAGATATATAGATATGTGGGCGCGCGTGTCTCTCTCTCTCTCTCTCTCTCTCTCTCTCTCTCTCTCTGTGCGTGTGTGTGTGTTGTGTGTTGTGTGTTGTGTGTTGTGTGTTGTGTGTACATTTCTTTTTTTTTTCAATTTAATCCTATTAATTTGGCGAACTAATTTATCACGCCACGTTAGAGTGAGTAGTATACCTTGAATGCCAGACGAAACTTTCCAACGTGATTATTTACCGCGCCCAGCCAAGAAATTTGGTTGAATTTATAATAATGCAGGAGGAATTATTTATGGATATATCAATACAAGCATTTTCATTCTACAATTAACTCACAATAGCCTAAAAAAACATCATGCACTATTACCAATGCAATAACTGTCTTATCAGCGCGATAAATAATTGCCGGCAATTTTAACGCAATAAAAGTTATGCGCACAAGTCATTTGCGCGCGCACTAGCCGCAGAAATAGATTAATGAAATTATAAGCAATATAAAGTAAGAAGCAAGTATCACTGGCAAGCTGGACGCCTTGGTTTTGCAATTACCATTTACATTTGAAATTACAATAGTAGCGATTACAAGGCTGCGCCAATAAAATGCAACAACAGCCAATGGCCAGTCGTTAAGCATTATCACTCTCTTTCTTTCCGTTCCCCAGGTCGTCCCCAGGTCGTCCCGACGAGCCATGCCGACCATGTCCGCCCGGAGGGAGTCGAGGAGCATCCGCACGGGGAGGCCCTCGTGAGGAACCGGGAGCCGAGGTCCCCGGGGTAATGAGCGCACCCCATCATGTCCGGCCAGCGGAGACTCAGGTTGGCAGGCCTCCAGTCGACACCCGGACGCTCGCTCTGGTGCTACCTCGCTTTGCTGCTGGCGTCCACGGGCAGCTGGTGCGTCGAGGCCGATCTCAATTCCGAGTTCGTCAAAGGCAAAAGTGAGTGACTGGGCCGCCAGCCAAGAGCCGGCCATTCCGCAAGGGCAGCTTGCCGCAACGCGAGCCGCCCTTGGGAACTTAATACTAGCCGTAATCTAGTTTGTCGAGTAGACGTTAAGTTTAACTTTAAGTCCAAGATGTAATGGGCCACTTGTTGGAAGCATCGGTATTATTAGGTCCAATGGTGACACACCGTGACGGATGCTGAAATGCTGATTAATCGCTGTGATTCTTGTGTCTCCGTAGCTGCGGAGAGACTCGAATGGTGCAGCGTTGTAACGGTGAACGGATGAATCGATCCGTTGATGAAGACTGAGCGACCCCGACATTATATCGAGGGAAAAGAAAGATCTCAGACCCAATTAGCACGGCCCGTCATATTTAATGTGTCGCATTCTGCTTGAATAAGTAAAAGAGCCCTACGGCTTTATTCTTTATATGACGCCCACGTGCGTTATAATGACCATTCCCGTTGCGTGATTGCGAAAAAAACAAAAAAGCCAAGGAAATATAATGGACACTCGTGGGTCCCGGTGGGTGACGATTTTCCATAAATGGATCTTTTTATCCGCGTTTGTTCGATGCTTTTCGGGGCTTTTCGGGGCTTTTCACCTCGCGAACGACTTCGTCTCGCTTAGTCGTATTACGCGGGATACCGTTTTCTTTCCACCCACTGTCGACATCTACAATAATTATCTGTGCCACTTTTTGCTTCTCAAGATTTTAACTCCATTTATTACAATTATATACTCGTATTTAGAAAGTCAATGGACCTCGCCGACTCCTTTTGAATATTACCAATCGGAATAAACAAGTATTTTTACCGGCTACCAAAACCCGGTGAATACAGTCATAAGAAAAAAAAAGATGAAAAATACATAAAAACAAAAAACATAGACACACGCGCGCGCGCGCGCGCAAAATAAAAAGAGAAAAGAAAAAAGAAAAAGACTTAACATACGAATACCTCCAGACATTTAAAACATATTCTACGAAATACAAGATAGGCCAGAATTATTTTTAATTTATTCAGTCTGAATTGAGAGGAAAAACTTTTATGTACATTAAAAGCGAATAATAATCAAAATAATTCATTTCGTTGTGAAATACGCGGTATGAATTAATTTAACGCGTCTGTCTTATGTATCGAGCATAATCTTGCAAACAAGTTGTTATACTGTGGATTAGATAAATTTATGCTATTTTTACTTAGGCACGCGCATACGATTTCACTTGATCCTGTTGTCCAGATAAACCAATTAATTATAATACAGAAAAACTTAATTATAATTAATTTTTTTATACACGATATTTACTGTAAAAGTTCATCATTATGAAATAAGGAAGAAGATTCGTCGATAATAAATTTCGTGAAAGCGTGAGGGTTTGATTTTACATTTAAAAGAACATAGCGATTCATTCTCTTTAACATCTACATTTTGCGAAAACCTTCCCGACTGAATAATAACTCTGGCCAAGTAATTTCTTACCGTAATTGTACTCTGGAGAAGCTAAAGATTTTATATTTTACCGAGAATCAAAGCTCCGGACAAGCGCGAGTCGCTCGCGCTCCCATTTGTTGTTGATAAAGAAGCATTACAAAACCAGGGAACGAATTTTTCTTTTTTTCCTCTGCGCTCATCTACCCGCAGCCCCTCGTTCCTCAATTAAAATGCTTCTGTACGCGGACCTCGAGAAGCACCGATATAACCGGGCCCAAGGTAAAACTACTCTCCCTCGCTCATAAACAGAGATCCTCGCAACGGAGATCACGTGTCTTCTCTGGACCAACTCCTACGCCTTACCCACATAATTTTCCAATCAATCTACCTAGACAACTCGGTGTATTGACATTGCGATCCTTCCTCGCGTCTCCACTCGCTCTCATGCGGCCCAGGTACAGGCTTTTGCTTGTCCACTCGCGTTCCGCGTGGGCAAAGCTCGGTTTAGGCTTTCAGACCGTGGAGCCTCGTAGTAACGACCGGAGAGTTATCATTGATAGGCGAACGAGCCATTGGCTTAAATTTGAATTAAACGAAAGGCGGATGCGAAAATTATTTATCGGACGAGCTGGGAATGTGCTTAACGCACAATGCCCTCGTGTATTTTTACTCCCTGGAGGTGTTCTATCATTGAATTGTTTGTTTTGCGCGCGATATTTTATCGGGTCACAACGCTATACAGTTTTATTATCTCGTGTGTCAATATTGTGGCGAGACTCGTGTGATGATAGGCAACTCAAGCATTTTACGATACGACGTTTCACTCCTTTACGATACGACTTATTTCTATCGCGGCCGTCCCATACTATTTGCGCAGAGTATATTATAAGCTTCATCTATTTTTGTTTTTCTTTTCATTTTCAAATGTATTTTATTGATAATTACACGATACTATTAAAAAGGCAATAAAATACTCACATCGATAATTTGTGGATGGGACATTAGTTATTATTCAGAAGAATGAAATTGAATGTGCCTGCCGAAGCTATAAGTTATCCATCTTTTTCATAACCTCGTTTTCTTCAGATCGCACAATTATATATCTCACTTACGTACTTATGCAGTAAATATTGAAAAATATTCAAGTTTTCGATAGTTTTGTTATATTTAAATAATAGAGTGGTGAAATTATATTAAATGATGATGGGAGTGAATTGAGTGTGCAGAATTATATTTTAAGTATACGTTTATCTTGATTTTCAAAATGGGATAAAAGTAACATAAAATTATACAATTTCGTATGGGCATTAAATGATTGCGCGCTTCATTTGCAATAAACTATTTGGAGAAAAAGATGGCCAAGAAGCTAAAGATACTGTCACATACACTACACCTTTTATCATTATGCATTATACATGTATAATAATTATGAAAATTCCATGCCGCTTGATTTTAAATATGAGCAAACGTTAATAAACGTCTACGCAGTGTTTTATACTTTACAGTGTTTACTTGTTTATTCAAAAATCGAAATTACGTATGATATAATTTTGAGTTTAAATCACGTATTGCGCTATTTTGCGTTGATTTAAAGTAAAAATTATATTCAAACTGGATTGCAGCACAGATACGTAAATGCTCCCCGAGGCGCTTTGCCGTTGCTTTTAATGAAAAGTTCAGCTCAACATTTGGACGATTATTTTTTTTCGCATTTTTCGCGGCACTCGGCGGTACAGCTTCATACGCATCGAAATTTATGCGCGTAATAATATGCCTTAGCCCTTGCGCAGACTACATAAATTGGAATACGATAGAGGTTTTCGCATTTTTGAATTGGCATAATTATACATATAGTATTCTTTTTCGCGTTATTTTCTTTAGTTTGAGGCTGGGGATAGGGTCGAGTGATTTATCTTTAATAAGATTTTAATAAAATATTTTTATCGCGATGTGTTTCGACCGAATGATTATGGAAACCGAGCCGTTTTCATGTTTTAACGAAATAATGGATAGATGAGTCATCGATTTTCTAACGATAAACCTTTGAAATGTATTAGCCTTTAAAATGTAATGAAATTTGAAAGACGTTTGAGTGTTATTCAATCCATTTTGTTGTTCATAATTGCATAATTATTAATTAAAATCGAATCATTTATGAATTTGAATTCGTTAAAGATTTATCTGCACTTTCGCTTATTCGGATAGATTTCGTTTAGCTTTCAAAAGCCATTTATAATAATTCTCAAATAATGAAAACGGAATTTAAAATTTACGATTTTCTTTAGAATCTTCTCACGGTCACCGACTGCGCATTACCATACGCAACGAGGCCACCGCGATTGTTTTAACCCAAAGTTTTCTATGTATATATATATATATATATATATATATATATATACATATACATATGCATATACATATGTATTATTAAGCGAGGGCCTAAGATCGATAACAAAATACCTATATGGAAGGGCAAAAGCTTATTAGGAGATAAGTTTAAATTGTTAAAAGCTTTTTCGAGCCTAAAATAAGCGGGTCTCTGCATTGATAGCCACCCACCCATAAGGACGACGCGTCTCGAGAGGCGTGAAGATAAACGACTAAAGTGCCTCAACCTGCATCCCCTCCGACCCTCCGGTTTCATCTCCGGCTATTAAAGTGATAAAGTCCCTCTTTAGAGCCATTAGTCGAGCAAAATAATATAAAAATGATTATGCCCGATAGCGACAAAAAATATAGGGAATTATGAAGATAGAGATGGCGGGAGGGGGAAATGGAGAAACGAATAGAGGGAAATATTTCATTTGCACTTTGCGCGTGGATCGATAACAGCCAAAGTAGGAAGAAATTGTAGTAGCGATATATCGTATATTGTAAGATTTATGGCGATCGTTAGTTGCTTTTTACGAATTAAAATTACTGGAGATATTATTGGAAAAGTGATGTAATACGAGCCTTTGCAAATTTTTGCGATATCAAACGTGTTGTGAAGACAGTAATTAAGATGTTTTCGATCAATTTCGATAAGTTTCGATTTCTTATAACGTCAGCCTTAAGAATCTAGAGGAATTAGGATAAGTATGAGGACTAGTGCAACATCAGGGCTATTTCAGAATTAATTGACATATAATTAGGCTGCTACTAATTATAATACTCGAGAAGCTTATAAAAAATGAACAAATAGTCGTATTATTAATCTATATTTTTATGATCTATTCATAAGTTTTTATTTTTATTTATTGCAATATTTTCATAAGATACTCAAATATATGCGCAGATAAAAATTCTAAGTAAATAAATTAGTTCTTTAAATCGTTTTTACGATAAATAGTAAAATAAAACGTTACGCATAGCATTGAATTAAAAAAATATGTGTGTGTGTGTGCGCGTGAGTGTGTTTTCTTTCGTTGTTTTGTTTTTGTTTTTGTTTTTTTGTTTTGTTTTGTTTTTAAATATTTGCTATTGACTGTGCTGTTGAGTCATCGAATGAAGCATTAGACAACGATGAAAAACTTCATAAAAAACAAATGATCTAAAGCTTTAATTAATTGTTCGTGT